GATCTGTCCAGTGTTGAGAGGGCAATTTTCACCTCTCCAACTATTACAGTATTAAGGTAAATCTCTTTCTTTAGGTATAGTAAAGTTTGCTTTATAAATCTGGGTGCACAAATTTTGTGAGTATATGTATTTTTGATTGCTATGTCTTCTTGGTGGATAGATCCCAAAAGAAGAGAGAAGACCCAAATAAGAAGAATAAGAAACTAAAAAGGGGATATCACAACTGATACCACAGAATTACAAAGAATCATTAGAGATTACTATGAACAACTGTATGCCAAAAATTTTGAAAATCTGAAGGAAATGGATAAATTTCTAGACATATACAAACTACCAATATCAAACCAAGAAAACACAGAAAAAATGAACAGACCAATAACAAGCAACAAGATTGAAGCAGTAATCAGAAATCTTCCAAAAAAGAAAAGTCCAGGAACAGACGGTTTCACTGCTGAATTCTACTAAACCCTTAAATAGTAATTAGTACCAGTTCTTTCAAACTATTCCAAAAAATTGAAACAGAAACCATTCTCCCAAACTCATTCTATGAAGTCAGCATCACCCTGATACCAAAATTGGACAACAGTACAACAAAAAATGAAAACTACAGGCCGATAACCTTGATGAATTTAAATGTAAAAACCCTCAACAAAATACTAGCAAACAGAATACAGTAACATATCAAAAAGATTATACATCATGATCAGGTGGGATTCATCCCAGGAATGCAAGGATGTTTCAACATACACAAATCAATAAATGTGATATACTACACCAAAAAGTAAAAAAAAATGATCATCTCAATAGATGCAGAAAAAACATTTTACAAAATTCAACAGTCCTCCATGATAAAGACTCTCAACAAATTCGGTACAGAGGGGAGGCATCTCAACATAATAAAACCCATATGTGATAAACCCACTGCCAATATCATCCTGAATGGGAAAAAGCTGAAAGTTTTACCCTTAAGATCAGGAACAAGAAAAGGATGCCTGTTCTCTCTATTCCCTTTTAACATAGTATTGGAAGTACTTGCCAGAACAATTAGACAACAAAGAGAAATAAAGTGCATCCAAATAGGTAAAGAGGAAATCAAATTATCCCTGTTCACAGATGACATAATTCTATATAGAGAAATCCCAAGAGACTCTACCAAAAATCTCTTAGAGCTGATAAATGAATTCAGTAAGGTTGCAGCATACAAAATTAACATACAAAGATCAATAGCATTTTTACACTCAAACAACAAAATAGAAGAAAAAGAGATCAAGAAAGCAAGCCCACTTATAATACTCTCCAAAAAAATAAAATACATAGGAATAAATCTAACCAAAGAAGTGACAGATCTCTACAATGAGAACTACAAATCATTTCTGAAAGAAGTTAAAGGAGACACTAAGAGATGGAAAGACATTCCTTGTTCATGGATTGGAAGAATCAATGTAGTAAAAATGTCCATACTACACAAAGCCATCTACAGATTTAATATAATTCCCATCAAAATGCCAATGACTTTCTTAACAAAAATAGAAAAAGAAATCCTAACATTCATATGGAACAACAAAATACCCTGAATAGCCAAAGCAATGCTGAGCAAAACAAGTAAAACTAGAGGCATTATACTTTCTGACTTCAAACTATATTACAAACCTGTAGTAACAAAAATATCATGGTACTGGCATTAAAACAGACACACGGACCAATGGAACAGAATAGAGAACTCAGAAATCAACCCATGTATTTGCAACCAACTGATCTTTGGCAAAGGCACCAAGAACATACACTGGGGGAAAGACTACCTCTTCAATAAATAGTGCTGGGAAAAAATGTATATCCATTTATAGAAGAGTGAAACTTGATCCATACCTTTTACCATATACCAAAATCAACTCAAGAGGAATTAAAGACCTAAATATAAGGCCTGAAACATTAAAACTCCTAGAAGTAAATATAGGGGAAATGCTCCAAGATTTAGGACTGGGCAATAACTTTATGAATAACACCACAAAAGCACAGGCAACAAAAGAAAAAAATAAATGGGATTATATCAAACTAAAAAGCTTCTGCAAAGCAAATAATAATAATAATAATAAATTTAAAAAACAATCAATAGAGTGAAAAGACACCCTACAGAATGGGAGAAAATATGCACCTGGCAAGGGATTAATATCCAGAATATACAAAGAGCTCTGACAACTTTACAGCAAAAAGCAAATAATCCAATTTAAAAATGGGCAAAGGAGTTGAATAGATATTTCTCAAAGGAATACATACAAATGGCCAACAGGTATATGAAAAAATGCTCAACATCACTAATCACCAGGGAAATGCAAATCAAAACCACTTTGAGATATCACCTCACCCCAATCAGACTGGCTATTATAAAAAAGACAGAGAATTACAAATGCTGGCAAGGATGTGCAGAGAGAGGAACCCTCCTTCATGGTTGGCGGGATTGTAAATTAGTACAGCCATTATGGAGAACAGTATGGAGGTTCCTTAAATAACTACAGGCAGAACTTCCATATGATCCAGCAATCCCACTCCTGGGGATATATCCAGAGGATTGGAAAACATCAGGTCGAAGGGGTACCTGCACTCCCATGTTTATTGCATTTACAATAGCTAGGCATTGGAACCAAACTAAATGTACATCGATGGATGACTGATGACAAAATTGAGGTATATACACACAATGGAATACTACTCAGCCATTAAACAAAGTGGAATTCTACCACTTGCAACAACATGAATGAGCCCAGAGAAAATTATCCTAAATGAAACAACCCAGGTACAGAAAGAGAAATACCACATGTTCTCACCCATAACTCAGAGCTGAATCCATAAATAAACAAATGAACAATAAAGAGAGACAGAGAGAAAGAAAGAAAGAAACAACAATCACAGTAATACATTGAACTTTTAAAAACCTAAAGGTGGAAAAAGGGAGGTGTGGGGAGGGGGAGAGGGTGAGAGGCTAATGAGGAATTGGTCAAAGAACACAAAGAACGATTGCATATTGTAATGATGAATAAGGTAGCTACACTGATCTAACCACCACAAGTTGAACACAAGTATTGAAAATCAGCATTGTAACCCACATGTATGTATAATCAAAAACAAAAATAAAAATAAAAATAAAAACAAAATAACAATGCATTTTTTTAAAAGGACTTTAGATTCAGAAGCTAAAGTCTTCAGCTGATCCAAGAGATGTTTGATTTTGTTTTTAAAAAAATCAATTAAGAGAAATAGGAACATTAAGGTTTCATGCTACACCTTCTTCCTTGTTTAGGGGATAGAATTATTTTTGAAAAAATACAAAGTACAGGATTAGTAATGTATTTGAAAGGAAGATGCCAAATACTCTAAGTCAAGTAACTGATGTGGAAATGGATTTGTGTGTAGAATATGTCAGGTTTTACCACAACAAGTATAGTGGGAGACAACAAACAGAACATTAAAAGAACAAAGTTTGGTTCAGATATAGGAAATAACTTATTTTTCAGGAGATATGTTTGGATCCAAGAGGCCAGCCTAGACAGAACTGTTACAATAAAGAGGGAAAATAAACACAGGAAAAGATGCCCAATATCATTAGTTTTGGGGAAAATGCAAAATAAAATCATGATAAGACATCATTGTGTGTCTAAAAGAATGAGTAAAATAAGAAAAAAAATTTACCCTGCTAAGTGTTGGCAAGGAGAAATTGGAATTTTCATAGGCTGCTAGTGAGAATGTAAAATGATACAACCACTACAGAAAACAATCTGGAATTTTCTTAAAAAGTTAAACATACAACTACCAACCATTTGACAATTAGATAAACTTAGATGAAATGAAGAATTGCTATAATTGCAAAAATTACTTAAACTGAGTCAGGAAGAAATGGAAAATCTCAACAGACCTATAA